TCTCTCTCTCTCTCTCTCTCAGATTCTTTAATTATTATTGAGTGATTTCAATCACATGTTTTGTGCCGTAATATCTCTTTCATAAAGTGATATGTATAAATGATGTATGATTGATCTTCAACTGCACTTGAAACATAACCTAAATGTGTGTGTGTGCGTGTGTGTGTGTGTGTGTGTGCGCGCGCGTTCACGTGCGTGCATGTCATCTTTACCATCATCTATCACACCTTGGGGTCGACCTCGCATCTTGCTAAAGCCACACATGTTATACTGATTAGAAATTTGTGAACGTGTCTGCCATTAACGGTAGATTTTGCCTTCTCTTTCACACATTCAAAATTGGAGTTTTGACAATATTTAATAGTTTTTGATAGTTTTAAAATGAACTTCAAACACTGCAGCCTTTTCTTCTGTTACATACGTTGTAATTTTAGCATATTCTTTAACCCGCACTGGTAAATACAGACAAGTATTCCTGTAGAACACGAGACGGCTGACGAGAAGAAAACATAATTGATGTAGCTAGTAAAGAAGAAAGAATCCGCCGCTCAAGGTCTCTCTTCCATTGTAAATAAAAACGGGAAAAAAACGCCTCACCAACAGCTGGGGGTAAAGTGTTTTCCAGACAATTACGACATCATAAAAATTAAACTAGGTCTATAGTGTACGAGGTGGTCTTAAATTCCTCCAGGCATCAACGCGGGGGTATTGTGCTCGTGTTTGGTGTTATCTGCGTAAATAAGAACAAACGAGGTAGTGATCTGTTCCCCATGTCTGCTCCTTGTAGTGCCTTTATTGATCATTTATCCCTGTATGTAATGTTCTGCACGCTAGATATTTATTATGTAATCATACGCATACAGTGATGATAATAAACTACTACTACTACTACTACTACTACTACTACTACTAGTGTGTGGGGCTGAGGCAGGTACTCTGTGAATGTAGTCAGTCTAGACACGACACGTGGTGAAAGGCAACCGTACGGCGTGTTATTTCAGCGGACTATTATCTGCCCTGTGGTGCGCGCGCGCGCACGCGCGTGTGTGTGTGTGTGTGTGCGTGCGTGTGTGTGTGTGTGTGTGTGTGTGTGCCAGTTATCTGCCGTGTGGTGACAATGTACTGAGATCAGGTGTGATAATAGACCCGGCAGGTCCCGTGTGACAGCTGACTGTGCTGGAAGAGGTTGGTAAAGGAAGTTACGACAGCATTTATCTCGGGGTGGATTTGACGGGGAGAGGACTGGAGGGGAGGGGGGGCAGGGGAGAGGAGTGGGGTCCTCGCGCTCGTGCAGGGACAGGTCCTTAGGAACCGGTGTACTTTTTACTCAGAGGTGATTTTCAACCTGAAAACAAAAGTTTGTAAATACACAGGTGCGTGCACTTACACACACACACACACGTAAACACTCACACATAAACACGCACACACACACACACACACACGTAAACACTCACACGTAAACACTCACACACACACACACGTAAACACTCACACGTAAACACTCACACACACACACACACACACACACACCACGCAACTTGCAGAGCATCATCACGTCAAAATATAAACAGAAAAGCTATGCTCATGTAATATCAAAAGTCCATCCCAGCAGACGATACAAGCTTCGAGATAAAACATTAATCATTTTGTTGATACAACACTCTACTGATACGTGTATATCTGCACCCGAAACGATAACATTCCTCCACAAAACAATATTTCACTGGCAACCGTATCAAGTATACTTAGCATACGTTTTAAAGTCAACATTTTTTTATTTCCTGTACTTTTGATCGACAAAGGTAAAAATAACATTGATCTTAAAAAGCAAATACGCGCGCGCCGTTAAGAACAAGTTTACATTTGCAGGGAAGTAAACAGAAAGCGATGGCCAGCAAAATGCAGGTTTTCATAAAACCTTTTGATGCATAGTAAATGCGTGTAAAATACGGTCATGATAGAGGTAACTATCAACATTTTCACCATGGAAGTACCATGCATAAAAGGCAAATTGAATTAATAATGGAAACACAGTGTAAAAAGCACGTCATGTGTTCAATCAATAGCCTTCTTTGCCTTCAGCCTGAAGTCTGTTTTTCTAGCGTCTGATAGTTCTACCTGACCACCTGTGCTGGAAAAGAATATCGATGTTACATAAAATGACTGCCAGATGTTTTTTTGTAAGGAAACTATAAAGTAACACCAGTTTTGTTAGAAAAAACATAGCAAAATAACACAAAAAAGACTGTGTTATATTTCATTTGGCGAATATCTAAAAGTTTGGCGAATGTTTGTGTGCGTGCATGTGTGTGTGTGTGTGCGTTTTCGTGTGTGATGGGAGATGAAAAAGGAGGATACCGTGCCTGTTAATACCTCTCTTCTTCCTTAACAATATAACGTTCTTATCTAACTTAAGAAAATTCATATTTTACCCTCTTCCACGCGAAAGGACACTAAAAAGTTACACCAGTCGCTAGTAGGCCTGGATGGAGCAAATAGAACTGAATTCGAAATATTTCATTTGGCGAGTTTCACCCGCGCTTGTGTGTGTGTGTGTGTGTGTGTGTGTGGGATGTCTGTTTTTTATATATTTTTCTCTTCACAAATGTATGCTCTTGTCTGAATATTAAAACAAAAGCTTCACGTTTACCTATCTTCCACGCGAGCATTCAGTAATCCCCTGGCCCGCCCTGACTCCACGACGTAGGGTGAGGTTAAAAAAACATTCAATAAATCTATAAAGTACTAAAACATTGAACTTTTCATTCATGTTAAAGAATATATCTTGATTAGCAAACGTGTGAAATGATGGAGTGAGAGTCGATAGCAGCCATTACTCAGATACCTCGGGAATAAAAGAGAAAAAGAACTTGTCGATATTGTAGTTTTTGACGACTTAGGAAATAGATCGGTATTTTGTTGTACTGAATAACATCATTATTTGACAGAAATCATTTGTTCAGAGCAACTCATACCATTTCACTCGCTTCTCTCGCCTGATGTTAATTATGCGTGGCAGAAAAGGACAAAAATGTTATTTATATTAAAACGTTTGTGTCTTTTCTTCCTCGGAGACCGGGTGACATAGCTACACTCCAGACCAAAGACACGTGACGCGAGCCGGCTCTGCCTGAGACAGTTTTTGTCCCACAATAGAAATAAAAGCAATTCAAAATCCGATAATTGAAAGCATAACTTTGTACAAATTGAACACGCTCTGTTGACGTAGGTTCCTGAGTACTCGTGAACTTAGTAAACAAATCATTGTTGTGATTGAAAGAAATTGCTAATCAGATTTCAAAATCGATTTCGTTAAATCTCCCGTCACAAACTCTGACTTAATTGACCTAGGTGCCAGACTTAACATTGTCAGTACCTCCAAAATGTTTTATTTTAATTTTCAAATCCGGCTCGACCCTGTGTTGTCGATATCAAGTGACCTCGGTTGACAATCAGGTTTTGATTTTCTTATCGAATTCGTCCATTGATCGCGGCGTGAAAGGTTCTCTATCTGAAGAATAATATCAGAGGTAGCAAGGTGTTGTCGACCCAGCGCACCTGTTTTCATATTTAAACTGTGACAACAATGTCCCTAGTTCACGTGGTTCAGAATTAACTTCAGATCTGCTCAACACTGAGTGGATTTATATCGCACGGTGCTCGGAGAGTTGACTGCATTCAAGACGACGAGGACACAGCAGGTGTCAGCTATGTGTGTGAGAGTTGATTGAAATCAAGTTGATTATTCCACCAAATGCTGCAGACTACCCCCATCTGACAGTAGCATGACAAGACGCGCCGCGCCATTAAGTCAGTAGCCGTGATAGTCAACATCCATGCGTTTAACTTGACAGGGATTTTATATATCGGATATTATAGGCACATTTTCCACAGTTCACAACTGGAAGATTGACCATATCTTTCAATGTAACAGTGACTCTACTACATGTACTAAACAGAAAAATTATCACTTCCTGCTTTCATCTCTCTCTCTCTCTCTCTCTCTCTCTCTCTCTCTGTGTGTGTGTGTGTGTGTGTGTGTGTGTGTGTGTGTGTGTGTGTGACGGGGGGGGGGGGGGTGGCGGGTGGAGGCAATACCGATTTAGAACCTGCTGTGTTGCTTTGGTGTGAACGCTGGTGCTGAACAAGGGTACTATTGTAGTGGCGAGGTCCAAGGGGGGCATGTGAACACATGAGAACACAACAGTCGGTGTTCTTTATGAAGTCAGTACACTAAACACCTTGTATCATATATCAACAAACACAAGTCAGTGACGGGGTCAAAGGGTGAAATAATAATAAACCTGAAGGACTTGTGAATACAGGAACTCGCGCTGGAGATGCTGTAACGGGCTGTAATCCGCATGGTAGGGGTGCTGCTACTTGGTAGGTGTGCTGCTACATGTACCTGGGCGGGTATACTACCTGGGAGAGGGGGGGTGCTACCTAGGACAGGGTACATGCACTGGAATTTAGCATTATCGAGTGACCCAGGTGCCGTTGATATTCAAGGTGAGGTTGGTTGACAAGTAATGCGTTGTTTTGCAGTTGAAATTCATTACAAAATATTACATAACAGAAAAAACTGTTTGCTGCGGTCTGCTGTGGGGGCTGTTTGCTGCGGTCTGCTGTGGGGGCTGTTTGCTGCGGTCTGCTGTGGGGGCTGTTTGCAGCGGAGAGATCTTGCAGAATATTGAAAGACTTGTCTAAATGTATCTCTCTCTCTCTCTCTCACTTTAATCAAAAAGGAAAACATTAGCTAGGAGGTGTGTAAGGGACTGGTGGACGTGCCCCCCATGGGATGTCTGCAGGGGGGGGGGGGTAGCGTGTTTGTCCGAGCAATGTAACATGAGTAGAATAACATATCGATGATGAAATATAAACGTGCGGTCGACTTTCTTGTCTTTTGGTTTAGGTAATCAGCCACTGCTTCAGTGTTATGATTTCATCGTTATGATTTCCACAAATATGCACTTGCTGTCCATTCAGTGGAAAATATACCAGATTATTTGATTTCATTCACGAAGAGTGCTACGTACTTTCTTACAGAACTTGGCCTGATGCTGGGGTATTTGGTAAAAACTCAACATCGCTGAGTTTATTTCTCCAAAAATCACTTGACGTCGACAACATTGCATAAAATTATTGTATTTGACTAAATCTTCTTGTAAATCTTTTCAGAAACTTGATCCATGGCCAGAGGCGACAGTTAAGCACGATGCAGACAGACGCTACCTGGTGACGTAAAACACAGAACGCAGGCGTAAAAACTAAATATCGAAAATAAAAATGACACCAGCTACCGCAACCTTACAATTTTCAAGAAAATCTCAAACGTTGGAGGAGCTCGACAAGGAGAGGCCGAAATCTCTCGAAGCAGTCCGCGAGATTCTAAGAGAGGCGACGACAGACGTGGAAACCAAGCTAAGTCTCATTGAAGTCAGCCTCATTGGACGCGGAGTAACGTACGCTGACTTCATTCGACCTTACGTGGCGCCCATCGTCTCTTTAATGAAATCCCTGGAAATTTATGAAATTTACAACAAAAAGCAAATCGAGGAGATCATCCACCAGGGCATTGAGACAGGAGAGGCGGTGAAGGAGAGTGACCTTCCAGGCTATCACATGCTCAAGGAATGCTATCACAAAATCAAGGAGTATCTCCCGGGAGCCTTTACTGCCATTTTCCTAGAGATAGAAAAGATTTTAGAAAACTTGGACAAATATTGCCGCAGTTTCAGCAAGGCGGAGGAGCGGGAATACATGGACACGCCGTCACATTATGAGATGAAACGCCAGGAGCTCTGGAAACTTATCCGGGTTAACCTTGATGACGTCAAGGACATGATTGGCAGGTATCAGGAAGATGGCGTCGATATCAAGATGTTTGGGATACACGCGCGAGATATCGGACGCGGCTGCGAATGCGAGCGTCTCCCCTTTCTGCTCATGTTCCCTCAAACGTGCGTAAATGTCAGGAACGCTTGCAAAGGAATAAGACAATGGTTGAAAGCAGACGAGGAATATCCGTCCTATATTAAAGATGACATTATTGATATGGAGAAGAAAATTGAGCACAAAACGCGCGAGGAGAGAGAGAGTCAGATGCGAAGTAGTCAGCTGGAGTATAAAATGAGGCACGTGCAGCAGGAGTGCTCCGTGCTGGAATCAGAACTGAAGAAACTGATAGCGCGCGAAATGGCGTTTAACCAAGACGCTCGTAAACTTGAAAGAGAGATTAATAAACTTGAGTTGGAAATTGGGACGCTGGAGCAAGAGAAAGTCATGTCAAGTAAAGGACTCATTAAAAGTTCACATCCACCGGAGGCGCTCTCCCGTAAAATCCACGATTTAAAAGAAAAGCACCATGGGCTAGCAACAAAACATTCCCACGTGCAAGCAAAAATAATGCTGGTCGAGAAAAAACGAGAAATGCTCCGAGAGTCCAACGCCAACGCAAGCGCCTTGAGGAGCGCCTCAAGAAAAGCAAGAACGGAACACACAAACGTGGAACACGAGTTGCATACCATGAATGAGAGGCTAGAGGAGTTAAAACAAATATACCTCTACAAGACGAGTCACGAAACACCAAAGAAGATATTTTATGGTCTTCCACTAGCTCCTAAAACGACGGTCAAAACTACAGGCAAGAAAAACCACGGTATGCTCCAATGTTCTTATTATTTGCTTGAAGATTCATCATAATCACTATGGTGATCTTGTTAAGATATAAGAAAAAAAAACATCAATTTAGATCAACTATGATTGGTCTCTTCATATGAATTATAGTTGACCTAAATAGGTACGTTTTCAGTTATATTAGTCTTTTTCTTACTGTTTGTTATATCGTACATTGGTCAGCTAGCAAAAAATAAATATCATTTATCTAATGATAAGAAAAAGGAAGACTGTTCGCGAAAGAATTAACTTACCAATTTTTCATAAAGGGTGTAAGTTTTTTCAACCGCCATCGGCTAATGGACAGTATTCTTCTAATTGTATCAAGGGATTGTCTGTAATCATACTGATGGGTTTCCTTTCTTCATTTACAGATCCACTAAACAGGGCGGTGAAGATAGTCGCCCACTACATCGAGAAAGACTGGATGAAGCTGTACCGCAAACTTCCTTTCCACCCCGTGCGCGGCACAGAAATGTTAGAACAGGATCTGGACGACATCTTCCAGAAATCCGCGCGAAACACCGTCAAGGAGCTGTCCCATGAGGCTTTAGCAAAATGGCGCCGGCTCCACACGCGTGCCACGCTGGAGGAGTTGAAAGGGGCGCTGGTTGAACTCAAAAGAAAGGACGTGCTGGAGCATTTAGAGAAAGCCCATGGCGGCAGCGGAGGTGCAGCGTCTTCCAGGCGGAACAAGCCAACCATATTTAAGCCAGCGAGAGTGGCGGTGTCTCTTCCTAAGATTAAAATATCTGGCGACAAGAGCATGGTAGTGCAGAGCATCTGAATAAAAGACTGCATCATCACGTACGGCAATTACTGGATCTTTTCAGTGGCGGAAATTGTGCATTTTATAGATGCTGTGATTTTTAAGTCATAATTTCTGAAAATTAGAACGTTCCTGTTGAGTGGTAGCAACAAAATTAAAAAGCAGGGCACTCAATAGTGCTGTTTTATGTAGTAAAAGCTCCACAGATGCTAAACAGAAATATGATTTTTGTGAATACAAAATTATGTAAAGTTTGGTAATTTTTGACATCTGAAAAGATCGAGTCACTACCGAAGTATACCAGTAGCTAAAGGCAACACCATATAAAATACCATTTTTGCATTTTTGAAAAAAGTTAAAATATAGCATTATAGCCGCGGCGCGTGCTTGTAACCGTCTCAGTAATACTCGATACTTAATGTTAACATTCAATTCTGCTCCATCAATTTCCGTCCAAGTTACGGCGAGTAAAGGCATTCATAGATGAGGTCTTGGAAAGCGGCAATTGTTACAAGGATTTCAATTTATTATGAAGTTATATTATATGAATAAAGCGCGTCAAGACGGTGTGGAGCCGCCTAGAATTAACAAAGAAGCAATTGCAAATTTTTAAGGTCCCTCAAATATGTTTTAAAAATATTTTTCATTGAGTGTTTTAATTTATTGTGACTTTACATAACAGTTGCTCACCTAATCGTTATGTTTAGAGTGCATTGATTATAAGGATTGTTGATTACATTGTGAACTGCGCCTATTTAATACAGCCAAGATCTTTACTAATAACAACTAACGTGAAATATAAACTTTTGTACGCAATATATAAATTTACAAGACCTGAAGCGTTGTTACGAATGTATTTAAGTTTTAAAGTGCAATAAACTAATTCTAACTGTTACCCGTCTTTTCTTTATTCGCGAAACTGGTCTCCCAACTTTAAAATTTACAGGAAATATCCCAAATTATTGTGTCGTATGTGCGATGGTCAACCACATGCGACCTTATTACGCCAGGTATAAAACAACTTCGTCAGCTGCAACAGAGCAGACCAAGATGGTCAAGGAGGGCCCCGGGTGGGGGGGGGGGGGGGGGATTGCATGAAAATAGGAGGGGGTAACTTTGGACGGGTACCACAGGGACTAACGTTAAAAATGCACCTGGATAATGTTTAAGGTGAATGTGTGTGTGTGTGTGTGTGTGTGTGTGTGGAGGGGGGGATAACATTAAATGTAAAGCTGCCCAGGCAGGCAAGTATCGTATAAGAAATCCGCAGAACGCCGTCACCCGTATACAGTCATTTCAAATACAGAAACAAATGAGTAATAAAAAATTTATTTATTCAACTTCATATATCAAAGTAAAAAAGAAAAATAATAATGTGTTAAGTTCTTTAACATGAAAGTGTAAAACAAACATCGTTCTTGAACATGAATTGTCCCAGCAGTAGACAGCCAAACACTGTGGACAGGGGACTGGTGAGGAAATGGCCAGTTTTCAAATCACAATGTTTTATACAATGCTCAATTTTGGGGATTGAAACCTTACAAACATCTAGCCTTCCTGACTGTCTGATGAAAACGCATGCATGTATGAAGTTCTAAAAATGGGTAGTTTAAGTGCTTTACCAAAAACCACTCAGGCACAGTTTTCTCATTCATCAGCTATGTATATGTAGCAACTGAAGCCCGTCTGGGCGACTTATCTCCCTAGCTGGTTTGTACACTGGATTTATAATATGTCTGAACGTATAAAAGTGAGTTCTTAATTTAGAAAACTTAGAGAAGATCGTCCCATCTGTGCTGACACCTGGCGGGGTAGGACCCTAAGTATAGGCCACATTGTACTAGCAACTGTCAGTTAGGCTTCATTCACATGCAATGTCTATTTTCTAAATTCTATTTTCTATTCGCGGTATATCTTATGATCACGGTCTGTGCCCTTAATATCCCGCCGCGTAATTACTGGCAGCGCGAGCCAGTTACTAAAAGTTACTATAAGTAACTGGCTCGCGCTGCCAGTAATTACGCGGCGGGATATTCAGGGCACAGACCGTGATCATAAGATAGCGCGAATAGAAAATAGATTTTTAGAAAAATAGACATTCCATGTGAACGAAGCCTTAAACCAGTTTCACGTATCACTACATATGGCAACATATTGTCACTATTTCCCAGAACACAATAAGGTGGTAAACTGCCCATGTTAACGTCCTGAAACACGTGTTCAGCAGCTGCAGAACGAGGAATATGGCGGCTCACAGAGGCCACTGCTATCACAGGACTAGCGTGTGTATTAACACTTACACAATGATAGATGTCCATTAGTACAGAATGTTATGTGAAAGGAAATTTACAGCCTTCACTATTCATCAGAACAAAGGTCTTACCACAAAATACTACAATAATTACTTTACCAACTGTTTTATTGTTACACTGGCTAGAATACCGCTTGTTCCTGGCAAGCAGCCAGAGATGCCCCCCCCCCATACAGCCCCTGCACAGTGCAGGCAGAAATCACTTTACTTTCTTTACTAAACTGTATTTTGTCTAGAGAAAAAAATCACAATATTTATGTTAACTGTCTTCATGCTATTCACTAGAACATTACTACGTAAACTAAGAATAACTAACTTCTCATGGTCTTGTACAAACTATGGACACATCTATTGCATATACATTTTGATTGACATATAAATTCACTGAAATTTTTGATTTATGGCATTTCTTTTCCCCCAGCAAATATTCTATTCTTTTGCAAAGACACAAGCATTTGCCTGGATACACACATATACACACACATATACACACACTTATACACACACTTATACAAACACATATACACACACTTATATATTCACACACACACACATACATACACACACACGCACACACACATACATACACACACAAGGCACCTCTCTATATGGCAGTGTAAAGCTGGTTAACACATTTTTTCTTGCTAAAACCCATTTCATGCACACACACACACACTCACACACCAACACACACACACACACACATATACACACACACACTCACCAACACAGACATAACAGTCTGACAGTACACATACACACACACACTCACCAACACACACACACACACTCACACACATATATACATNTCACCAACACAGACATAACAGTCTGACAGTACACGTACACCTTTCCCTGCCCTGAAATCTTTATCCTGTTTTTGTTAAGTTTTTAAGGACTGTATTAGTCATTTATGAAAGGTTGATATCCATGGTGAAAAATTTCCTCTTCCGTCTGTGGCCTTCTGCTGTGTCTCCATTTAATGTCCACAACTGGTCAACACTGTCCACTAGAATATAGCTGTCCACTGCTGGTCAATATTGCTCTCTCTTTCTTCAGTTTTTCTTGAAACTGCAAAAGATAACGTTTGATTTAAAATTTTTAATTAGAGCTTGACAAAAATGAAAAAATAGAGTAATAGTTTAATACTTTATTTAACGAAGTTACAGCTTCCCAAATAAAACAGAAATAGTCTATCATTTAATAATTTACATCATGGATTTGGCAAATATGTCATATTGACACAAGAGCCCAAGCAACACCTACCTGTTAAGATAGGAGTTCACATCAGGGAAACCATGCTCTCGGGCGATGTGGATGAGAATGCCAGTTGCACCACGGCCATTTTTCTTGCGGCAAAAACTGCAGTTGCATATTCCACGACAGGGAGGGCAGCTCCAAGCCTGGGGGTGAAAACAGGGCAGAGAATACTGATTAAGTTGAACCAGGAAATATGAAATCTTCAGGAACTAATTCAAAACTTTTTGGCTCAGACATGGAGCCTGGACTTGGAAACAATTTTGTGATGGTTACTAAAGAAGTAAGAGATAACTGACCCTCCAAACAAACAAACTTTTTACTGAAAACTGTATAAAAAGCTTTGAAAATTTCAGAGCCAGACACATTCAGTTACTTACAGGATCTTTAAGAGCTTCCTTGGCATCCTCTCCGTACCTATTCCTTAGACATGGGCCACAGAACTGAAATTAAACACAAAGCACTTTACATATGGATGTAATATACTGTAGGATGCTCTACTGATGCTCTCCGGATGATCTACGAGAGAAGTAGCCAGTCCGTTCTTAAGGGATTTTGTGTAGATTGATTCATATTTATAAGTCTCCTTCTTTGAAAAAAAAATATCTACATGTTTATCCTTCATACCTGTCCCCGCACCCCAAAACACTCTTTACTTCTACACGAAGTCTTCATGTCGCTGGTCTTCTGCCTGCATTGATGACATGAGGTCCCCTGAGAAGGAAAAACATTATAATATAATATAATATAATATAATATAATATAATATAATATAAGTAATAACACAGTAGTTCCATGGCACATGTCCTCTACCTCTACTGTTGACATGAAGTGCTTTACTTGAGAAGACAGTTATAAAATGTTATAAGATGGATGGAGCAAGAAAAGGTTCACCATAAATTAACCACACCAGAAATATGAACATTTTAGATAAAATACAACAACTACCTAATGTTTTCTACATGGTAATCCTCCACAACAACAGTAATTTCCTGAACAACTCATATATGTTATTTCTCCAGTACCTTCTCCTTGCAATGAGTATGTAATTGTGATCACCAGTCTCAACTAACACAATCTCTCCTCAAATATGACACCACACAGCAGGTAAATGTGCTGTCACATCACCAGTCTCAACTAGCACAATTTCTCTTTAACTGTTAAAAACATTTCCATGCATGTCTGACTTGAATAAAACCAGGGCCTTTTTAAAACAAAATCCTTACAATGTGTCAAAAGGACAACATTTTGAAAACAATCCTTTCCTTCACTTCCAGATGCACTCACCTCAGCACTGTCGTATCTTTTCTCAGAAACGTGCGTTGCCACAAGTTCTAGGTCTTCCTCAGTGACTTCATCTGCTGGTTTGATGTACCTCACACCAGATGGCGCACGTGGCTTTCTCTTGGACGGAGTAAGACGAGTGCATTCTTCCTGAAAATATAACCAAATTAATGGGATATCAACTGTTCATGTAAGCTTCATATTTCACAATTAGTACATTGTATACAAGTTTTACAACACAGAGAAATATAATTTATTCCATTTTACCACCAAAACAGGGCTTATCCCAATTATTATTGAACCTGTGCTTGCCATCAGACCATAAGCACCTTCATAGATGGCTATACCTTTTGTTATAATCTCTTTACCTAACTTTTAACAAAAATACATAGACTTTCTTTGAATGTTGGCACGAATACATTACAAACTGGTAAGTATGGAGGAATTATAGTTTACCACAGGAAAATCCTTTTTTTTTTATCAAAACAAACAGTTGTTATCCCTGTCAGATTGCTGCTGGCCACAATACACTGGTTAATTTTAAATGATTTTCTTTTCTATTCAGAAGATTACCACTGAATATATCTGAAGGTGTGATTACTGCCTACTTACAATAGGTGTATTGTATATAAACCCAACTCCTCTCCTCCTACCTCTTCTTCTTCTTCTTCTTCCTCCCATGATTCCACTGAGTAACTGTCATCATCATCGCTGTCTTCAGTCTTCCGCTTCTTGTTGAAGAAAGCACCAAACTTCACCACTAGTTTCTAGAAGTACACAAAGATCATGAAGAATGAAGTGATTTACTTTGTATTTCAAGTCAAAGACAGCACTATTCTAAAGCTAGTGTATGAACGTTAAAGGACAGAATTATTCAAAAGATTAAATTCATTTCACGGTGCTTTCTGAAGTAATCTACTTGTAGAAACCATCCGTTTCCATACATGTTTTTAAAAATATTTATTACAGTGTGAAAGTGCAAGTAGTATAAATTTTGTGGCAAGGCACCATGACAGATTCAATCTTTAAAAAAAAAAGTCCACTTTAATTTAGTGAAATCTGAATCACAGCCATTTATTGTTAGTTTGCTCATTAGTGTCATATTTAAATCAACAGTTCCTATCTATGAGGACAGCTGTGAACTCACCCCAGGACTTTGAACTGGTGTAGAAGCATTGCTGCTCCCGCTGTGACAACTAGAGCTGACAGAACTCCTGCGATGGCGCGTGCGCGGAGGACTGTAGTCCATTGGAGTGTACCTGGCACGTCTTGACGGGTTGCGTCGCATCACCTGACCTCCTGATGGACGACGGTCTTTACTAACATGAGATCTCTGCAGACAAATATAAATATTATAATAGTAATATAAAATAAATATAATAATAGTAAGATAAAAGTTGGCATGTTTCTATAGGTTTTTTGGTCTTACTAATTCTGGAAGTAACTTCAATTCTGTGCTTAAGAAAAGTAGTTTGCTGTCTGCCATCTGTATTTTTATAATATTAAATATTTGAATTATAATACAATATAATTAAATATTATAATTTAAATATTTAAATATTGTATTATTCTTGGTATAATATAATATTTAAATATTATATTATACCAAGAATACTGAAAATATTTTCAAGTGAAAATATTTGAGTTAACAGCAGCTAGACAAATTTTAACATCTTATTTGAAAAAAGAAATAATAATAATAGTCATAACAAATTCATGTTACATCTTAATCATCTGTGAAAATAAAACCCAAATTCATATCCGCAAATGAACTGCAGAAAACTGTCCTAAGAAGCAGTGAGGAGAATATTTCTGAGCTCTTTATAAAATATGACCTATCAGGTGACCAACTCACTTTAGGAGGAGACTGGAGCGAAACTGGCATCATTTCCTTCAGGTCTGCCATCATCTTAGCCAGCTGAAAGAAATTACATTACATTACATTACATTACATTACATTACATTACATTACATTATATTACTGTGGAGCAGATTCCAACGAAGAAATCAGATGGTGCAATATCCATCTTATCAAACATGTTTTATCCAAAAAAATAAATAAATAAATAAATAATAATAAATATATAAATAATAAATAAATAAAAAAATAAAGAAAATCATTATTCCATTTTTATTCAGTTTCAAAATATTCACTCTGCTATACAACAATGTCAGATGTTTTAAAATGAGTCAAAAGGCACCTAGTCTGATGAAATCTTGTTGACGGTGGACATTTTCAGTCAATTATAATAAAGGATCGAATTACAGAAAATTAATTGAAAAACAATATAAACTGTAAGCTATACCCAGATAGCAACAAGGCGTTGGCCCGACGCTGGGCAAACGTCGGCATGGTTGGCCTTACGACGTCGGGCCAACGTCGTAAGGCCGACCAGTGCACTGGGCCGACGTCGGGCCAGCGCAGGTGCCGGCGTCGGGCCGACGTCCGTGCTCATCGGCCATCTGTTGGCCCGACGTCGGGCCAACGTCGTTTTGCCAACCAGCTGACGTTGGCCCGATGATGGGCCGACGTTGGCCCGATGGTGGGTAATGGTTGGCCTGATGGTGGCCCAGCGTCAGGGTTATGATGTTGGGCCGACGTTGGCCCATTGTAATTATGCCAACCAGCTTATTGGCCCTGCATAGGCCCAAAATTAATTTTTTTTTATTTTAAAGTAAGTGATTAACTTTATGAAATTATAAGCAAAAACAACAACGATAACAATTTCTGTCTGCAACACAAAATATATTCTTTATTATATCATAGTGGTGATTTCATGGCCAATTTCAGGGCCAAATTTAATTTCTGAAAATTCCTACTTCAGATCAAGTCTGAAAATTATATTATCTGAATATTTAATTAGTTACATAAAACTTATTTATGAATGAACTTTATATTAACCCTGTACATTAAGTTCTACAGGATGTTTTCAGTTTAAAAAGGCCTGAATCACTTTATTTATGACTTCATTTTTTAGTTAAAGTTAAAATTGGTTCAATTATGTTCAAAGTACATACATATATATATATATATACATATACGTAACCAAATCAACAGTAAATAAAATGTCAATAAATTTAATAAAAAAGAAACCTCTTGTCTTTTTGTACAAAACAATATATGTTTAAAAAAACTACACTGCAAAAAGGCAAATATACAGACACTAAGCAGGGGGAAATGTCACTTATATACATGTAAAGAAAAAAGAACAAACCTTATTTTTTTTACTAAAGAAAGCTGCTCATCAAACTAACACAAAAATTGTGAATAAATTATGCATGTACATGGGGGGGGG